GATTAACCTCTCTGGATCTCTGTTGTAATTCTTTTGATTTTGGATAGTCCTTGAGAGTTCACTCTCCAGGTTCGTATCTGGCTGGTATAATCTTGCATCGTAGAGTCCAGGCTTTGTGCTCTGATGTTGTTTGTTTTCAGACTGAAGGACTTCTTTGAGTAATTCTTCTCAGTTTGGTTTGGTTTTTACATATTCCCTTAATTTCTGTTTATGTGGAAATCTCTTAATTTCGCCTTCATATTTGAAAGAGAGTTTTGCTGGATATATTATTCTTGGTTGACGGTTTTTGTTTTCAGTGTTTTATATATGTCATCCCATTGCCTTCTTGCCTTCAGGGTTTCTGCCAAGTAATCAGAGCTGAGTCTTATTGTTTCTTCTCTGTATGTGACTTTTCGTTTCTCATGCTGCTCTCATGATTCTTTCTTTGTCTTTAGTTTTAGCAAGTGCGATTATGATACACCTTGGTGATTTTCTTTTGGGATCTATCTTATATGGGGTTTGTTGAGCTTCTTGGATGGCCAGCTTTTCATCTTTCATGATATTAGGGAAGTTTTCTGTCTGTAATTCTTCAATGATCCTCTATGTGTTTTCCGTTTTCTCCCTGTTCTGGAACTCTGATCACTCACAAATTTTTGCTTTTGATTGTATCCCACGTAATTCTCAGGGTTTCTTCATTTTCTTTCTTTTTTTTTTTTTCCCCTGATTTTTCCTCAAATAGAGTTGTAGGCAAGTGGTTGTCTTCAATTTCACTCGTCCTATCTTCCATCATTTCAGACCTGCTCCTCAGCCCTTCTATGACAGTGTCCATTTCTGAAATATTTCTGTTTATCTTTTGGATTTCTAATTGTTATTTTTGTATGATTTCTAGTTGTGAATTTATTTTGACATTTTGTTATTGTATTATTTTCCTTAATTCTCCCATTTTTTTGTCTGTATTTTCCATGAATTTGTCTGCCTTTTCCATGAATTTGCCTATTTTTTCCCCATTTTCATCTGCTTTTTGCTTCAACTCTTGAATAGCTCTGAGTATTAGAGATTTGAATTCCCTATCAGTTAGTTCTAGTGCCTTTCTTCTCCTAGAAAGTCATGTGTTGTTTTATTTTGGATGCCTACTGGAACCATCATGTCCTGTTTTTTTAATGTATTTTGATATCGAGTGCTATCTTCTGGACATTATTTAGTTATTTTCTTCATTTATTGATTGTAGATTTATTTGTTTTGTCCTTTTTTGTTTTATTTGGTTATGTCTGAGCAGGTGGGCTGTGTGTTCTTTGTTGTTTCCTTGTCTGTGGGCACGATACTTTTCACCTCCTTGTCCAATGGGCAGGGCCAGTCGCTCAGCTTTGGTGCAGCAGGGTAGGTCCAGCTGAAGGGGAGGGGCTGGCATGGTTTTTTTGTGGCACGTAGTAGGGCTGACTGGCTGGGCCGGTAATCAGTGCAGGGTAGGTTCTGGTAGGCCATGCCTGTGCTGCTTGGGGGTGTGATGTTCAGTGCATGGTGCAGGTAGACAGGAACGAGTGGGGAGATTGTGATGTGTGGAGCTAAAATGGGTATGGGAGAGAGGAGAGAGAAACAGGAGCCAAAACAGTCAAACAAACAGGAGTGTTAAATGAGCTTGCCATTGGAGTGGATAGATGAAAAAATGGAGAAAAAGAAAAAGGAAAAAAAAGAAAAAAAAAGAAAAAATAAATAAAAATTAAGGGGGGGAGAAGCCCCGAGGGATCCCACCATTGTGACTGTGAAGATTGCAGAAGTGGCTCCCAGGCTGCAAAGTAGGGACTGGCTAGAAAGGGTAGAGATGTCACACAGTGCCAGGTATTTAAGAGATAGGAAAAGAAGATAAGTATAGAGAGGTGAGAAACTGAGAAATGAAGAAAGACAGAAAGGAAAAAAAAAAAGAAATGCTCCCTAGGGATCCTATCGGCGGACCAGGGAAGTGGCTCCCAAGCTGTGCAGTACAGCCTGGCTAGAAGGGGCTCCCATGCTGTGAAAAGAGAAAGCAAACAAACGGAACAAAACAAAATAAAACAAAACAAAACAAAAAAAGAAAAAGACCCTGGAGATCCCACCAGCATGGTGGCGTGGGCTGGGGAAGCAGTTCCCCAGTTGAGTGACACTTCACATCCTTTCAAGAAGAAGCAAAGATGGCACATAGAGCCATGTATTCAAGAAAGAGGACGGGGAAGTGGTGAGAAGCATGGAAGAAACCAATAGAAGCAGAAAAGGTAACACCAGCAACAAACAAATGACACTCAGGGAGCTGGCCAGTGTGGGCGGGGCAAATCCAAGCTGCATGGGGCCGCAGCTGGTGCCTCCTGGTCAAGAGTGTGGCTGGTGGGATGCAGAGGAGGCCTAGTCGAGGGGAAGAAGGGTGGGGTGTGGGAAAGCATAAAGGAAACTGGTTGTTCTCCTGCTGGCAGCTCTGTGAAGCTGCTTTCCCGTACTCTGTCTGCCGATCTCCCATGTGGGTGGGGCGAATCCAAGCGGCATGGACCTTCTACTTCCTGGCCAGCCGAGCAACTGTAGACAGCTATGATGCGGCAGAGGTCAAGCAGGGGGGAGAAGGATGGGTGGTGGGAAAGCATATGTTGCTGGTTACCAGGTGCTCTGTCTCCTGCTGGGAGCTCCGTGAAGCTGCTTTCCTGCACTCCCTGTCTGCCGACCTCTGACAGGTGTCCAAGATGGTGAATCTGTGCTGTGTTAGCTGATAGGGGACCTCCGCGTGTATCTTTGTTCTCTGTTTTCTGTCAGTTTCTTACTCAATTTGGTGCTTGGCTGAGTTCTTTATCTCTTTATTTGTTCCAGGATCGATGTTTGTCTCTGTTTTACTTAGTTTTTCGGGTTTTGCTGTGGAGGGACGGTGCCTATAGCGCCATGTTGGCTCCTCATTTCATTTTGGTTGATTTTCAGTTTTCCTAGATTCATACTTACTACATTCTATGTTCTGATTATTAATGGATGTTTGCAGCTGTTTCTTCTCATTTTGAATCATGCCACATCAGTAAATGAAGGTCTCAAAAGTTTTATTTCACCCACATCATTAAGGTTGACTATTTTAAGGAGGCAGCTCTTCCCCAGTTGTGTTTTGAGTGCCTTCCAACCTGAGGGGCTCATCTTCCTACACTATATCACACAATATTCTGCTGCTATTCATAAGGTTTTCACTGACCAGTTTTGTTTTTTTTAGAAGTAAATCACCAGGTCCTTCTTCCTAGTCTGCCTTATTGTCTTAGTCTGGAAGTTCTGCTGGGTGACCATGCTAGTATTTGAAATATCGGTGGCATAGCTTCCAGTGTCATAGCAACATGCAAGTCACCACAGTCTGACAAACTGACAGACCACATTCCTAGGAATGTTTTAAGATCTATTTAATGTCTTGGCTCAGATAGAAATTTATATTTTTATTCATTAAAGTTTCTGGTTTTTCTATTTTAGAAATTTGAGTATTGAGGTAATATTGAATTATGATATAAAGGTGGCTTGTAACATTCATTACATTTATAAATTTCAGGATTTTTGAGAGCAGATTGTATGTATTTATTTCCTTAAAAATCACTTTGGTAAATGAAAGTTACTTTTCTAACCAAGAAAGTCCAAGATAGGTGTGACTTATGGTAATTCCAATCTATAAATAGTGTTGCAGAGTGAATGTACTTACTTGGTACTGCTATTATTTTGTGAAAAAATTTATGGTTTTAAAAATGTAAGAAGCATGGCCCAAATAAATTTTTTTGGGTGGAGATGTAGTTTTACACATTGGCAGGTATATAACTGTAACCTGATAAAAATGTCAGTTTAAAAGTATAGTTTCACCATTTCAATTAAAAAAAAATAAAAATTTATATAATTATTGACTGGTTAATTGATTTAAAAGATAGTATTGCTGAGTCTATTATAAAACATTTGAGAAAAACAGCTAAAAGAAGGGGATGTACAGCTAGCTGGCATGAAAATCAACTACCTTGAGGGACTTGGAAGTGTTTTTGTGGTTGTGAACAGTAGCATTTAGTAATAGAGTAGCTCTGAAGGCAGAGGGGCTGTGGGCCATGTTTCTTCTGAGCTACTAGGCAAATCATTAAACTTTTTTTCATTTAATTTTTTTTTTTTAATCTGTAAAATGGTAATAATAACAGTACTAATGGTCAGTGGTAGAATTCTTGGCTTCCATGAGGGAGACCTGAGTTTAATTTCCATTCAGCGCACCTCAAGTGCAACCACCATACCTCTGTTAGTGGAGGCTTGCCCTGTTGCTGAAATGCTGAGCATGTTTCAGCAGAACCTCCAGACTAAGAAGAAAGACCTGGTGATCTCCTTCCAAAAATTAGACAATGAAAACCCTATAGATCACAAATGGTCTGATCCCATTGTGCATGGGGTTCCAGTGAGTCAGGGGCCTGCTTAATGAAAGCTAACAACACCACCCTATGAGAAAGTAGTAGTGTTATTAACTGTAATTTATAGAAGAGAAAATTAGAGCTCAGAAACGTTAAGTGATTTGCTCAAGGTCGCAGGTACCCTTTTACCATCACTTTCTTATTCAAAATCATTTTTGCTTTCTACAATTACTGGTAAGGTAATGTTATTCTCAACCTTGTAAAACACCCCTAATTTCAAATAACTAAGTTAATTGGGAGATAGCTGAATGATAGAGATGGTTTGGTTTTATTTAAATATGTAGTAAAAAGTTTCTTACAAAAACAACAAAGGGGATTTACTTTAAAGAACAGAAAAATGCAAAGTTGTGTGAATATACACTTCTAAAATTCCTTGTCATTTAGAAAAATGTTCCAGTTTGATTTTCACTATTAAATATCTCCTGGCTTTGAAGAAAGGGTTTAAAAACAGTAGACTCCACCCCAATGATTGTCTGAATTCAAATTCTATGTAAGCAGAGTCCGAAGAAGTTAATATTTTATAGTATTAGGCAGGATGCAACATCTAAATTTTATAATGGGTATGCTGTGTGTTTAATTTAAAATTTTAAAATACTTTATTTCTAGCCGAGAATTCCTTTGGACAGTTAATGATGTTTATCATTGTGCTCCGTTTCTACAGATAAATGATGGGTGGATTATTTTCTCGATGGAGGGTAAGTTTTCTTTATAGCTAGTTCTTAAATCTAACATAGAAGCATCACATAAAACTATTTGTAAACGTTTCCTTTGTAGTTTAGACTTAAAGTAGTAGTTTGATATTATCCTCAACTCTATTTTTTATTTCTGTGATTCTTTTCTAAATTAGTTTTTTATTTGAACTTTATTTTTAATAGTTCCATTTGTTATATAGGTGTCTAACGCTCCTTGGAAACCCTATGGGGCGGTTCTACTCTGTCCTGTAGGGCCGCTGTGAGTCGGAATCGACTCAACAGCAACGGGTTTGGTTTTGGAATGTTTCTGTTTAACAGTATTCTTTCACTTATGAATTATTTTTCTTTCTGTATTTTAATGTATTCATGTGCAAATTGTTATTTTTTCTTGTTTTCTTCTCACACTGCCTTTTTAAAAAGTTTTTTCATAATTGTACTTTAGGTGAAGGTTTACAGAACAAATATTTTTTCATTAAACAGTCAGTACACATATGATGACATTGGTTAACAACCCCACGACATGTCAACACTCTTCCTTCTCAACCTTGGAGGACCTTTTTTTTTTTTTCATGAAAATATACATAGCCAAAGATACACCATTTCAGAAATTTCTACACGTACAATTCAGTGACATCAATTACATTCTTCCAATTGTGGTACTATTCTCACTATTCTTTTCCAAATTATTCCATCACCATTATCTTCAACTCACTGGCCCCTAGGCTTTTCATCAAACCTTTTGAGTTGCTGTTGTCAATTTGGTCTCACATAGATTTTTTTTTTGTACCTTAGATGAAGGTTTACAGAATAAATAGTTTCTCATTAAGCAGTTAGTACACATATTGCCTTATAACAATGGCTAACAACCCCGCAACATGTCAACACTGTTCCTTCTCAACCTTGGGGTCCCTATCACCAGTTTTCTTGTCCTCTCCTGCCTTCTAGTCCTTGTCCCTGGACTGCTGTTCCTCATTAGTCCCATTTTGTTTTGTGGGGCTGTCCAATTCCCTGCTGAAAGGTGAACCTAAGGAGTGACTTCACCACTGAGCTAAAAGGGTGTCCGGGGGCCATACTCTCGGGGTTTCTCCAGTCTGTCAGGCCAGTAAATCTGGTCTTTTTTGTGAGCTAGAATTTTGTTCTACATCTTTCTCCAGCTCTGTCCAGGACCCTTTGTTGTGATCCTGGTCAGAGCAGTCAGTGGTGGTAGCCAGGCACCATCTAGCTATGCTGGACTCAGTCTGGTGGAGGCCATAGTAGCTGTGATCCATTAGTCCTTTGGACTAATCTTTTCCTTGTATCCTGTTCTCTTCATTCTCCCTTGCTCCCAAAGTGGTGAGACCAGTGGAGTATCTTAGATGTCCGCTCACAGGCTTCTCATAGTGCCTTTTATTTGAAAGGTGGTTGAAACTAAATATTCTATATGATATGTTTTTACAGGCTATGTGTTTTTACTTAAAGCTTGCCGAAGTATTTACTGAAGTGAAATAATATGCTTTTAGAAATTACAGATTAGACATTTATATTATACTTCAAAATTAGAAATGTAGTTTGATTTTATTAGATAAGCTTTTAGGGGAAATATCTCAAATTTAGAACTAGAAAATATAATTACACTGATAAATGCTCTTTTCTACTGTTGTTGTTAAGTGCTGTCGAGTTGGTTCCGACTCATAGTGACCCTATAGGACAGAGTAGAAGTGCCTCATAGGGTTTTCAAGGAGTGGCTGGTGGATTTGTATTGCTGACCTTTTGGTTGGCAGCCGAGCTCATAACCATACCACCAGGGATAATATAATCTAAGACAAACTACTTTGCTTATTTCTTGACTCCCTATTACCATAAGAATGGAAACTAAAAGTACTTGGTACATAATTTAGTTTTTGGACTGTGACTGGACTACTTTGTTTTGGATTGGCATTTTATCGACACCCCTCCCTGCAAAAACAAAACCAGAAAACCTTCTGCCTGAGGATCATATTATTGTCTTCTTCCCTTATGTTTATCATTAGGTTAAACCATATGAATTTGCCGATATTCAACCACGTTGACTTGCAAAAATGTTAATTTTGTATGGTTTAACCTAATGTTAGCAAGTCTTGTGGTAACTAGAGTGAATTGATATTTATTAACCTTTTAGACTGGTAAATATTTTCTCAAGTGTTATATGAGCCATTTTGGCTGACTTTTATTCTTGGTGGTATAAAACGTATGTCTCTGTCAAACAAGCTCTGTTATAATGAAATATTCCTATATGCCTATTTAAAATCTGATCTTCAGAGAAGTGCTTTAGGAATTCAGAATAAAGATAGCCTGTTGACTTTGACTTTCAGAGTCCTAGGTGAACTTTTAGCAATGGCAAAACGGGCCATCTTTAGTCTGAGAATTTTTTTAATATGTGAATTCTTTTGAATAATCATATATCCAAGAAAATTTTTGTGGGAGGAAAATTTGTTTCTCTCTGTAAAAGTGTGTTCTGTTGGGATTAAGAATGATAAAACAAATAATCTATCAGAGTTGAACATCTTTCTAGGGCTAAAGGAAGTTAAATAAAATGTTTATTTTAATCTTATGCAGTTCTGTTTATAATTATTTTAATTTAAACTTAACCCTTCTAATTTATAAATAGATATTAATAACTATTGCTTGATAACATTTGAAAAACATTATTTTTAGATTAAAATGTTCTTTTATGATTATATAAACTGTTTCTTGAACATGAAAGTATGTTTGCAGTAACTAGTTTTAATGCTGCCTCTTATTTCTATTTTTATAATAGACAAAACCTTCAACTATAGAAGTTCTGGAAAGTATAGATAAGGTATGTTCTTTGGCTGTGAGGTATTTTAATTCATTTTAGGTGTTAAAGAAGTATTATTTTAGTATGTTCTATTTTGGAGACCAGATCTGGTCTGGGAGTTCAGAGGTGATATAGAGTAAGCCTGAGAACTTTAATGTAGCATGATCTCAAAAATATCCAAAGTCTATCAGTGACTTAAGGAGTCTGTGTCTAGTAACAGAGTCTCTTAGAATGAAGTTAGATCTACAGCATGATGTAAATCAATGTTATGGACAGGATAAAAGAGATTATAAGATAGTCTGCAACAGTTTTTATCAGTCTGCAAAATTTTTAGATTTTTAGATTATCTATCATTATTAAAAATTACTATTCTCCGGGAATATTGAGATCCATGAAGGAAACTGAAAGAATTTAGTATAGATCACTGTTAATTTTTATTATTTTTTTCTTTTTACGGCCAGATTTTTTTTTTTAGGCCTTATACAGGAAGAATTAGTCTTTGATTCAATAAGTATTATTTACTGATGCCAATTTCATTCCTCTAATCCCTGCTAATTTGATAGTTTAAAAATGATATTTTAATTTTGCATTTTAAAAAGTGACTTGTCAGCATAGGCATTTTTATGTATTTTAACCTTCAGTTTTAGTTTTTTCATTTTTTTGCCATATTTTAAGATATTAAGGTATTATTTTTCATTGCATTTTAAGAGATCTTTTTATATTATCTTTCTGTCATGTTGTAAATTTTTTGTTACCATTTTAATTTCTTTAGGAAGTTTGAGGTTTAATAATACAGATTTTTTTTTTTCTTTTAACAGGAAATTCAAGCATTGGAAGAATTTAGTGAAAAAAATCAGAGATTACAGAAATTATGGGTTGGAAGATTAATTCTCTATTCCTCAGTACTTTACCTGTTTACATGCTTAATTGTATACTTGTGGTATCTTCCTGATGAATTTACAGCACGACTTGCCATGACAGTACCAGTTTTTGCTTTTCCATTGATGTAAGTAAATTGTTCTTTTGGTTGACTTTCCCCTTTCTGACCAGATAGTTTTAGTATATTCAATCTCTTTTATTTTGAAATAGTAGGGTCTCAGAAGAGTGAATAAATTTGAATTTTTTTCTTGCAGTTTGAAAAATATTTTTCAAAAAGTAGAAAAATTGTTTTAAACCTTTATTTACAATCTAACATACCTGAGGAATATGACCCGATGACATTAGTAATAATGGCTCTGTATAGCAATATTTTCATTTTCAGATGGCCATGATCCCCTAGGGATATTGGGCATGGAATAGGCATTTCAGTTTGTGGGGAGTAGTGATAAGTGGGGGAGGGTTTGTAATACCAAAAGAACAACTTCCCAAATATATTCTGAATACACCCACTCCTCACTTATTGACATGGTTAGGTTTCAAAGACCAGGTTGTTAGGGGAAAATTGGCATTATGTGAAAATGGACTTCACAAAATAGAAGATGACTACATCATCACATAACTGCCAAACCACTGAGAATCATGGCCCAGCCAAATTGACCTGTAACCTTAAACGTCACAATCAGTGTTACTCTTGCTTTGCACCTTGGTGTTTGTTTCTGCCAGATGTGTGTTGTCAATGTGCAAAATAGTTGGATAGAAGGTTTTTTTTACTATTGTTGTAAATGCAAAATGTCGGATAATGAGATAGTAAGTGAGGAGTAGGTGTATATTCTGTCATCCCACCTGTTCCATTCTTTTTACTTATTGCTGTGAGCAATTGACTTTTATTATAGATATATTTTGTTATATAGCATTTTATAGAGGGTATATCATGCTTGAGAATTTTTAGGACAATTGAATAAAAACGTAATTCATTCAGTCAACAAACATTTATGGGTACCAGTTGTTCAGACATTGGATAATAATGGTGTATGATATGGAAATATACAAGTTTTCTGACTAGATATTACTCAGATCGCATACGTTAAATTAAATAATAAGTGTGATGAATGTTACGAAAGAGAAGTGCGAAATGCTATGGGAACATTTAACAGGAAGCCCAAATCCAGTCTGGGGTGGAGGTCAGTAATAGTTTTCTTTTGCTGCCCCAAACTTAGTGGCTTAAAACAACACCCATTTGTTATCTCATAATTTTGTAGGTCAGAAGTCCAGGCAACTGAATTGGGTTCTCTGCTCAGGGTCTCACAAGGCCTAAGTCAAGGTAGTGTCTGCTGGCATGGGCTCTCAGCTGGAGTCTCTGGGGGAGAATCTAGTTCCAGGCTCATTCAGGTTGTTAGCAGACTTGTGTTGCGTCTCTCTGATTTCCTCTTCTGTCCTCAGCCAGGAAGAAGCTCTGCTTTTAAGACCTCAAGTGATTACATTACCCCCACCAGGGTAATCTCTCTATTTTAAAATCAACTGAATAATAATCTTAATTATATCTGCAAACTCTCTTTACAGCAGTACCTAGATTAGTGCTTGATTATATAGCCAGGGGATGGTAATCTTGGGAGTTATCTTTAGAATTCTTCCTACCACAGCCTTCCTGAGAAGATGATGGTTGAGCTAAGACCTGAAGTATGAGTATGTGTGTCTAAGGTGGTGTGATATGGTGAATAGAGTTTTTTAGGCAGAAGGAACAGTGTACTTGAAGGACCTGAGGGGTGATAGAAGATGGTGAGTTTAAAGAATTGAAAGAAGGCCAAAGGCTGGATTGTAGAAAAAGGCTGGATAGTTAGGCAAGGGATATTTCATGTGTACCTTATAGTCCATGATAAGGATTTTAGGCTTTATTCTAAGAGTAGTGGGCAGTCATTAAAGATTTTTCAGAAAGAGTATGACATGATCATATTTGTGTTTTGAAAATACCACCTAGGCTATTCAGCATGAAGAATAAATTAGAGATGAATAAGAATGGGTCTGGAACAACAAGTTAGAAGGTTATAGTTGTCTAGGAGGGAAATGTTGGATGATGATTTATACTCGAGTGGTGATGATGGTATTAAAGAGGAACAGGAACAGGTAAAGAGGAATAAGGTAGATAGAAGAGAGATTTAGGAAGTAGAATTGAGGTAATATGAAGAGGCTTTTGGTGATTGACTGGATGTAGAGGGGGAGGAATTGCATGCATCAAGGGTAAAACTTAAGGTTTTGGCTTGGGAAATTTGGGTGATGGTAGTGTCACTCATCTAAAGAGGGAACAACATGAGGATCAGGTTTAGTGTCCTACTAAGACTAAAATACCTGTGTGCTATCCAGATGGAGCTGCCAGGTAGACAGCTGAATGTGAATCTGAAGCTCAGGAGATAAATTCGAATGGGAAATATAAATTTAGGATTTGGCATCTTATAAATGTTAATCAAAGCCATCATATGTTTATTCAGTAAATATTGGACACCTACAGTCTGTTTGGTATTGGGCTAGACACTAGTGATAAAGTAGTGACAATATCTCTGCCCTCGTGGACCTTACATTTTACTGGGATTAGACAGACAAAAAAAGAGAAACAAGTAAACAAACCTAGTTAATTTAGGTACAATGAAGAAAATAAAGAGTGTGATACGATAGAGAGGAATGGGCTATTTTAGAATGGTCCTGGAAGGCTTTTTTTGAGGAAGTGATGTTTGAATTAAGAGCTGAAGTATGAGAAAAAAGCAGCATGGAAATAGATGGCATTTATGGAAGATTGTTTATATGTACAGTATATAATAGCACACATCTATAGAGGGATATATGAAGGGATTCTCCCCAAAATATTAATGGTAATTCACTCTGGGTGGTGGAATTTTAAGAAGATGTTATTTTCCATGTACTTTTGGTATTATTTGAATTTTTTACATTAATGTGTTATTCAAATCCCCAACAACAAAATAAAATCTAAGAGCTGAGGGAAGATCTTTCCAAGAAGAGAGAACAGAAAATGCAAAGACTGAAGCAGGAGAGTACATGACTTACTTTAGTGTCAGAAAATGGGTGTAACTGGAATGTGTGATGGAGAGACCAAACCCAAACCCATTGCCATCGAGTCAATTCCGACTCATAGTGATAAGAGGTTGGACAAGCAGGCAGGAACCAGATGGTGGCATGTCATAGCTCAGAGTTTGAATTTCATTTTGGATGAAATGGAAAGCTTGTAAAGGTATTAGTGGAAGAATGGCAGGATGTGGTTTGAGTTAAGAGGATCATGCTTGCTACCATGTGGAGACTGGATCAGAGGAGGACAAGAGTAGAAGCAGGGAGCTCAGCTTGGATGCTATTCTAGAAGTTCAGTCTAAAGATGAAGATAGATTGGATTACCCTATTCTAGTACAATGGAGATGAGGAGATGATTTTTAGAAGTATTTTAGAGGTAAAACTGATACAACTTGATGAGAGGTAAGGGAAAAGGACTAATGAAGGGTGATAAATAGATCTTTACTTTGATATTTGGTAGGTGGAGGATCTTTTTCTCTGGAACTATAGCAAAAACTTTTTTTTTTTTGGTTTAGTTTTTAGTGCAGAGGATATTTTCAAATTGGAATTTCTAAAGCCCATACATTTTTAACTTTATATGTAGGTGTACAAGAGCTGCAGACTTAGCGCATGCCTAATATTGTAAAATAATTGTCTCTGCCAATTTATTTTCCTTCTCTCTTTTGAAATCTTTTGGGATGCTTTTTATCCCAGGTGTAGTAGTAGATTTTATAATGCTTAGCCCTTTTTCCCTTGTTCTAGCTGATTTAAATGCTTTAAAATATTTTTTAAAAGAATTGCTTGACATCCATTTCCATATAAAAATTGATTTTCTTCTTATAAAGTGTTCATATCTATTTGCAAAAGAACATCTGATAGGGAACTCTGTTGTGCTAATTCTAATGAATGATCCACAAATTATGATCCACTGGATCTGCTATTATGAATCATAAGAGAATTTTTATGGGCAAATATATACTAATTGTTTTTAAAAGTAGAAAAACTTAATTTCTTTAAGAATATGTGTAATTTCTTCTGCTTCAGTTTGATCTTTCTACTATTTTGAGTAAGAAGCTTTACTATCTTTTCTGTGTCTCTCTGTGACTATTCTGCATCTAGTATTTCTTGGCTTAATAAGCTTCAGAGCCATTTCTTATTTTGCCTCATTCACATTTGTGACCTGGTTCTCAACTGTTGCAGCTTCTATTTCAGTGAACTCTTCACTTTTGGAACCATATACCAGTTACTCAACAAAGAATAGAGTTGTCCTTCTGATTGATGACAATCAAAAAAGCATGAAATAAAATACAACAGTGTGAAAGTGGATGTTTTCGTAAATAGAAAGAAGGCTTAACCACGGGGCATTCTCTTTTATATGAATGTGAGCTATTGCCCAAGCTTATCTCTAAACTTGTTTCCTTTGGAAACAAAAATTTTGAGAGGAGACCAGGATTTAAAGAGTTGACAGTAGAAGGAGCAATATCAAATCTATTGCTTTGCTCATCATTGTCTACATTGATTATAAAGCTTAGAAATCTACCTGATATCTGCAAAAAGTGACTGTCATCTCTGCATTCCAAGTTTCTCAGATTCTTTTTTACTGGATGCAGAGGTCATAGATTTGGGACTGAGTTCATTTTGCATAATCACTATTCCAAGATTATTCTTTATGGTATAATATTAATACTCCATATAAGATGTTTTGAGATTTTATTATATCTTCTCTTCAGAATGCAATGTGGAGGAACTTGTGATTCCAAACTTATTGTTTTTCTGCCTTTCATATTCTATAGCATATTTATATCCTTCTGATCTTTTTAACTGTTACTGAAATTTAAATTTTAAAATGCTGTACTTATTTAGTGGGGGCCATTAAAGCTGTGCTCCATAGTGGGGGAAGGTTTGGGTTACAGTTACAACTTTGTATTTCTGCATTATACTGACAGATATGTATTACCTTGGGAGTAGGTTGACACTTTTCTAAGAGTGAGCAACCATTAAGCTTTGTCTCTACTCTTAACTAACCCTACAGCAATCTTAACGACTTTTTACTCCTGGCTACCTTATTCTCACAAA